TCGTTAGTAACACAGAATGAATTTGTGTTACAGAATTTAATTCTATCCAATTAATAAATGGATAGAAAAATTAGTTTAATAGGAGATTAAACTCCTTTTTTAACTGAATTTGAACAGGGTGAAGATAAAAATGCCACTAACTAAATAAGCCTGTAAATACTTATTTAGTAGAACAGAACATATTTACAGACCAAGGTTTTTATTTTTTCTACAATGGAAAGTATATATATATATATATATATTTTATACAGTTATTATATGTTCTTTCTGAAAATTGACTTTTTTGAGTCTGCTACCCCAATTGACAATTATTCGATTACTAAGTTAGTTGACTTCAATTATCGTTTAATCACGATTAATCATTTCAATCTTATATTAAACCTCGACTGAAATGCAGTCGTTCTGATAAACTTTGAGTTTTAGGTGCAATTTTGAAAAATATTTACAGTAAAAACTGTGCAAATAGAAAATGAACCGATTTGTGCAGTTCTTTGTTTAAACTCTACTGGACTCCAATTCCTCCGTAACTTGTGGTCCAGCTGGTTGTAACCACTCCGTAGCCGAAGCGCTGCTGATCTTCCTGGAGGCCTTGCCAGAGCCGGTGGTTTGCTACGAACTCTACCAACGGTGCCTTGACAGCTCTCACGACAGCCGCCTCTGCAAGCAGGTAGACGGCCGCCAGAAGTTTCTGTTTCTGCAACACAAAGCGAAGTGATGAATCTGCAGTAAACGTCTCTGACGTCCACAGCTGGTCTCGCAGCTCTCCCGGCCGCATCGAAACGTGTTTCGATACTTGATGTCTTTCCTGAAGGAACTGCTGAAGCACTCGAACAACAACAACCTAACAGCAAACCTCATCGGTAAGAGACTGACGAACAGAAAGAACTGAAGAAAGAACTAATGAATCAATACGCAAAAATAAAAATGAATCGATGAATATTTATAAATTAACAAGTTAAATTAAGTAAATCAAAACAAATAAAGCAACAGATAAATGAAAATAAACTAATAAAAAATGAATAAATGTGAAAAGTATCTGAAATTTGTGTTTGCAAAAATGGAGGAAATAAAGAACAAAAACGTGCGAGAACAAATCAGTTAAAGGAAATGAACAAGTGAATAAAATTAAGACATTGAGTAGATTGATGCTGCTTTTTGTATCAATAAATTTAAAAAAGGAAATAGAAAAAAAAATAGTGAATAAAAATGGAAAATTAACTAATGATAATAATCAAGAATAAATAGAAATCTACAAACTAATCCAAATGACAAAGAATAATTTGAAATTAGCTAATTAAATTAGACTGAATGCAGAAAAAAAAAATCTAATGAACAAAAATTGAAACCAGGAATGAAAGACGAAAATAAAATACACAATAACATTTTATTTTGTGAGAATCAAAGAAGTTCATTTTAAAATGATTGAGGTCAAATTAATAAAAGTGAATGAGTGGAAGTTGACAAAAATAAGGAATTAATTTAAATAAATGAAAAGGATGTAGTGAGAGTAATAAAATATGAATTCTAAGTAAGAAAAATAATGACATTTAACTGAACAAATAAGGACTCCTACAATATATAATATGAATAAATGAATGAATAATAATAATAGACATGATTTACTGATAATAAACAGTAATATGGATGGTTTGGTGTTTTCAGCTACTCTCTTCGCTAGCCTCCTCATCCGACCGCCGCCCAACATGGCCAGCAGACAGTCGGGACAGGACCGACAGAAAGCCATCAACTTCATCCTGGGGTTCCTCATGTCCGCAGACGACGACTAACCAACGGGTCGACGGCCCGACCCACCGGGTCGCCGACCCGCTTTTTACTTCGCCGAACCGCTCACCGACTCGGCCGTCACAGGCTGCAGAGACGACACTTTGACCTCAGCAGGCGTCGCGTTTTCGATGTGGGAAGAGTTTGAACTGACTCACTTTTTAACGACTTAAAGGACGGGAAGACACTCATACCAAAAACAGTGAGTGGAGAAACTGTGGAAACACTATCCAGAGAGACACACACTAAACGCAGGAGTGCTACTTCCAGGAGTTGCGGTAAATAATACTGTTGATCATTTAGTGTGAAATGTACGGGAGATGATTGGAGCCACCAAAAAATTGTAAAATTCTAATTATCGACTCAGAATTTTGATTTTTTTTTAAAAAAGAATTCTCACTTTTTTTCTGAAATTTGTTTTGGATTCTTTTTACTTTTCTCTCAGAATTCTGAATTCTTTTGTAGAATTCTGACTTTAATCTCTGAATTCTTTTTTCTGACAATTCTTTTTGTCTCTTTCTCAGAATTCTGACTTTAAACTTAAAATTCTGGCTTTGTTTGAGAATTCTTCTCAGAATTCTTTTGACGTTTTTTCCTCAGAATTCTATCTTTAAAGTCAGAATTTTTTTTGTCTACAAATTCTCAGAATTCTTTTGATTCTTTTTCTCAGAATTCTGGCCTTAAACTCAAAATTATAATTCTGTCAGTTTATGTCAAAATCCACATAAATTAGATAAATTATGTTGTTTGTATATGAGAATGATCACACATTTTCTTCCTTGTTATATGTTTTGTAAACCTTCACTCTCGGAAATACTGTCCCAAAATTATTTACTAGATTTGCGTTTTATAATTAGATTTGCCCAATGGTGCATTTAGGCAATTTTGATTCTGAGAAAAATTTTATTTTATTTTTTTAAATGGCCCTAATCTTCCTCCGTAGGAATGGGATAAATATAGTATTTAGTTACTACGAATGTTTGTGCTTAAGTAACGACAATCATTTGTTGCTGCATTTTTGCTGGGGAGACAATAGAATTTATTAGCTAACACATCGGTTGTATTTTATCTGTTATTTATATTTGTTTTTCTCCTGCGTTTGCAACATTAGGTTTTTTTTTATTTTTGCTTTTTACATTCACACAATAACCTTCAATCTCAATTAGGTTGAAGAACCTAATTGAAGTTGGCCAGACATTCTTCAGTTTGGTGTCAAAAGTTTGTGCAAAACATTTTGTGCTGCTATTATTTTAAAGATATTAGTATGTTTCCAGAGGTCATCAAAGGTCAAACAGCCAGTCTACATTTACAAAAACAAGCAAAATATGGCATCAATCAGCTTTGCCACTTTTGTGCAGCAATTTTTTTTTGTGCTGTTAATTTTTTTTTCTAGGGATCAGACATTAACAAAACCAAGCAAAAATTATATAATTTTATTTTTGTATATTTGTGTCGCTAAACATTTTGTAGCACAGTTGATTTACACACAATTTGCTTTTTTGTAAACGGAGGTTTTTGAAAAATGTATTGCTGTCTTTAATACTATAGCAGCACAAAGAGATTTTTTTTTTTGCACCAAGGCTTGACACCAATTTAATTTAATTTCAGCTTCACTCAGGTCGACGAACACCGTATTTTGTCATGTTTATCCCTCTGTACATTCAGTTCTGTCAGCCATACACAATAAATTTATCACACTAAACCTCCTGGCCGAGTAAAGAGCCGCCCTCCGAGGGTTTTGACGTCTCGATGTAAATATGAATGTTTTGTGTTTCATGACTGTCCGGTGGTGAGATTCTGTGACGTTGTCTCCTGTCAGCCATTACAGTGATACTGTTTATATCTGTGTTTGTTTACATGTCCTCCCACATGTCTGGAACAGTCTGTATTGAGTGTTTGCTGAGTAAAAGTTCTTCTAAGTGCTGCAGTGTTTTCTGGGAGCAGATGTACCAAGATTGAAGCGCTCATTTATGTGCGGTTTTGTTCTCTGGTCCCAGCTGTGCCTCTGAGGAATCTACTTTTTCGCTTCCAACTCTTGCAAAACATGTGGTTGTAGAAATAAGGAACTCTTCCTCCCTCAGTTTGTTGAATGTTTCCTCTTTAACGGTTTCTCTTGACAAACGTCGGCTTTAGTTTTCGCAATTATGACACTCATTTCCTCCGATCGCCGTCTTGAGTAACTGATGCCCGGAAAACCCAATTACAGAAAAACAGCAAATATTAAGCTACGGAGACAATAAGAACACACTTTAGGGTGAAAACTATAAATCAAACATTAATGTGAGTTTTGCCAAATGTTTACTTTTGCTTGAGGAAAATGTGTTAACTGTTCGGTGGAAAGTCGAACCGTCATCGTTCACAAGAAAACATTTGAAATTTTGGATGCAACTCTAACGTCATCTGATGTCTTTTTTTATGTTTCATAACTTTAAGGTACATTTGACAGCAACTTTAATGTTTTTGGGTACTTTTTAATTTATTTAAGATGAATAAAACTACATGAAATGCCATTGTCATGTTTTTTACTTATTTTTGTTGTGATGCAGCCTGGTAAAAAAACAGAAAAACAAAACAAAATAGCTATGATTTTCATTTTGTTTTATTTAATTCACACAGTAATAAATGTGAATTGTTCATGTAACAACAAAGACATTTTGAATGAAAAAGAACAGAAAGTATCAAGTTTATTTGCTTTCAGAGTGCTTTACATCACAAAAAAATAAAAAGTCATTTATGAATCTATATATTTGCTCCTATTTACATTAAGAGAAAATTACCTTTTCCAGCTATAAAGACTATTATGGAAATATTTCAAATACGAAAAATATCAACTTAATCAATGCCCTATCGCTTCATAATGACTTTCAAATTTCTACTAGATACGGAAAGAGATTCTCAAGATTGTTCCATAAACTTTTATTGAAATGCATCTTTGCATTTTAAAAATCTCAGGTCCTTTCAAGTTGTATTTACTTTCTCTTTAAAAAATCAGTTTTGTATATTTAAAAATGTTTGAATCCCATGTTGGAAAACACATTTATGCTTTTTGTAGATAAATGTTAGAATATTGTACTTATTGATTCATGACGTTTCAGTAAGGTTATCTGTAAAAGTTCAAAAATGATTTCTTGCTGGAAGAGCAAACTGTTAAAGTTTGCCGATGCTGTACGCAAGCGTACCGGAAATTGCGTCAGCTGTAAACTGTTGAAGTCCCGATCCGAACAAGATGGCGGTTCGTGTTGAAGTCCCGATCCGAACAAGATGTCGTTTAGCATTAATTCAATATTTGGAACCACGGACTGAACGGTTTCGTTCCATTTCTTTCGCCGCCATTGATAAAACTACAGATGGACCAGAAATCTAAAACGTTATTTTAAAATACCACGTCATTGCTAAAATAAAGCGTTGACCACATTTTTATAGAGATTTTTTATGTGGTAAAAATCACATAATGATACATCGCAGCATCCAGGGACTGGATAGTTACTGGTGGGAGGCGGAATAAAACCCAATAAGTGTCCAGCTTGATTTAGTAGTTTACTCCGCGGGTACGTGTGAAGTCCTCTCTGAATGACGCTCATGCTATAAGCAGTGAGCTTCACCTCGATGCCACATTCACGTTCCCTGCGGTTATAAAGCCTGGTTGGCGCGGCTGACGCCATTTTTATCCCGATCCGGAGCCATGGCCATGCTCAGAGTGTCTTCATACCGCCGGCTGTTTCACCACGACGGGCGGAGTTCTAACGGAGGGCCGAGGCTGCACCAGGCCTCCGCCAGGTCAGGGTTCATCACATCGTTTATGTTAATACTGGAAAAAAAAAATCAATTTTCTGGGTGTTTTAACATTTGTTTGAAAACGTGTTTGAATCACCCATTTAAATCTCTGCATAGCTACATTTATTTTTCTATTCATTATAAACAAAAAGTGCAACTCTTAAAAATAAGTTTTATATTTACTGAAAATAAATATATAGTGAAAATAAACTTTAAATAATTAAAAAAAAATTTGACCGAGTTTGCAGTGCAAATATTATTTCAAGTACACTTGATATAAGAAAAAAATAACTTAGAAATTACTTTTCTGCAACATATAGGACCTTTTTATAAGTTCCTTAAAATTAATTTTATACTATACTATTTCCACTGGCAGATTATTTTATAACATGGGAAAAATGTGTTAAATTTAAGTAAAAGTCCAGTAATCTGCCAGTTGAGCCACTTCTTCTAAATTAAAGAATTGTTGACTTAAAACAAATGCCTATATTTATTTTTATATAGTTTTGTCTTTATTTCAAGTACTAGAAATTAGATTTAAAAAAATAGTTGGTAAGACTTTGTTTCTGCAGTGTGTTTACACAAAGTCCTGCATTAAATGAGACTATAAATATCTGAATGTTTGTTTTGAAAAATGTATTAAGGAAGTATATAATGTCAAGCTTCAGAGTGCAAGTATTTAACAGAAAGTTTCAATAACATGATGGAAACAAAAATCTTTCAATAGAAACTCTGTTAGTTGAGATTTTTACATATAACAAATGTCAGATTTACATTTTTGCTTCTTCAGTCCAGTTTCTGTGTTATTTGCTTGTCTTGTAGGTGTGCCTCTGCTGACAAATGTGGCTGTGATAAAATAGACTTTGTTGCAGCCAAAGCTCTGAACAAAGCGGGTCTGGACCGGTTCGTCCAGGAGCGGACCACCATGGCTTCCCTCAACGACCGGCTGGTCAAACTCATTGAGTTGGTGTGAAAAGACATTAAACCAGAGTCGCACTAATTCGCTTTTTCATTTTCGATACTGGTACCAATATCTGTCGATCTGATCCGATACATAAAAACACTTCAGTTTACTTAAAATGCTTATTCTTTAAATAAATAGACATAAATATACTGAATTACACATTTATGTACCAACTCTGTACCAGTTCAGCAAACTTAGATACACCAATATCTTCACAAGTTGGTCAAACATGTAAAAACAACTTTAATATGTTTCTGAGTAAATAATAAACTCAAACGTACAAAAACAGGTTTTCTGTCGCAGTAAATCAATTAATTACATTTTTGAAAAAAAAGCTCAGTAATTTCTACCAAAAACTGGACGATAAAAGTTTTCAGTCTGGTGATTTGGTCTTAACCTATTTTTGAAAGATAATTTTGTTTACAGAAACTTACTTAATTTTATTTGTTGTTTCTCTTGTTTTATTAATATATTATTAATACATTACATTACATTTACATTATTAATATAATGTAAAATCACAGAGCATAGAATTAGACTGAATAGATCTGCCATTATTGATTGGAGACATTGTCAACAATACCCAATCTAGAACTTCTCTCAATGTCAGAACCAATACAGATATTAGAATCGGATCGTTGCTTCGCTAATCGACTTAGAAACATTTTTTGTTCTCTACTGTTCTGCTTCAGGCTCACTGTTTGGAAGAGGAGAACGGCTCTCTTGAAAGCCAGATTGCTGATCTGGAGGAAAATCTCAACGGTCAACCCGCCTCAGCGAAACCGAATTTCAGCTTGGAGGCAGCGGTGGAAAAACTGCGCAGGCAGAGGGTAGGGCGTGTCTGCTGCATGTTGATGAGGTTTTCTCACCTCCTATTCCCTCCCGTCCACTTCAGTCAGAACCCATTTCGGTTCTGTCTGTCTTCTGACTGCAGGATGAGATTATTTGTGACACAGAGGAGCTGAAGGAAGAGCTTGAATGTCTCCAGAAGGAGTTTGAAAAAACAGCACATCAGAGGATCGTCATCCAGCAGGGACAACGAGATGCTGCTGAGGTAAAATTTGTTCTCCGTTTTGGAAAATGTCACTTTCTTTTCCTGAATTTCTAAAACAAAAGAAAAACATTAACATCTGAGGTATTGTAGAGCTCTGAAGATACGCAACGAATGGGATTTAGTCAAAGCTGCATTATGTAACTTTTATAAAAAGTGGGTGGGTGGGTCTTAGCGCTGTCAATCAGGCTCATATGTGTGCTGAAATCCTTTAACCTCCATGGCAACCATTCAGCCTCTGAGGTGTATCTTCTGCTGCAGTTTTCATAATTTGGCTCACAGAGAAATCTTTACCCATAACTTCCCTGCTTTGCTCCTCCAGACTAGCAAGCAGCAATTAGCAAATCCTCGGGTGAACTGTGCATCCACTGAGCTCATGAAGCGATCTACTTCTCAGAGTAGCGCTGGTAAAAACACTGTTAAAGGGTTAATACAGGAGCCACTTCATAAAGATGGAGTTTCAGGAAGAGTAGGAGTTTCTTAAAGAGACAGAGGCCCAATTTCAAGGTATTAAATTATAAAATTAAATTTCTTTGAAGTTATATTTGATCTGTGCAGCGTTTAACTGAAGGTAACGCTGATTGTGATACAAAATGATACTATGTGGCTGGAAAACATTAAGTTACTGTTTAAAAAAAAACTTAAATATTAAAGTTCTTCAAACAAAACAAAAGTCATAATAAAGTGGTCTGAGTTTCTGTAAAAGACTCCTAATTTATAAGAGCTTTATTGTGCTTTAATAATGGAGGGAAAAATGTTGCTAAAGTATTATTTTAATATCACCCCTGATGTAATATTGTAGCTTGGCCACTAGGTGGAGGTGTTGTCATGCATTACAGGCGCTGTGAATCAGCAACAGCAACCTGTAGTTGTTGTTCAGCAACCAAACCATCAACACGACTCCTCCTCTTCCTCACACCAGGCTGAAGTAATCGTCCCGCAGCTGGACCAGATGTGAGCGCGGCTTTGATTCCTCCTTACAGATGTAACACATTTCACGACACTGCAGCGCCCTGATGCCGCCGCTGGCTCTGTTCTGCCGCTTTGAATTGGTTGCAGCTGCAGGGCAGCAATATTCGGTGGGAAAATCTGGCAGGGAAGCAGATGAAGAACAGGGATGTGGAGGAGAGAGCGTTGGACAGATTAACCCACAACAAACTCAACTTCCTTCCAAACAAAAAAAAAAAAAACATGTCCGGTTTTATTATTTTGCACCTGTTTCGTGTCATGACTCACAAATTCAGCCTAATTTTCTCTGTGGAAGCAAACTTTGTGAAAACGTCACAATTTCAGACTAAAAACTGGTAAAACCAACATGAAAACTCAACCAATAATTTAATTTAATGAACCCAAATGTCACTCTGATCTGCAAAATAATGGTTATTATCAGAGGGGTCAGAGTTCACAAAAACTGCACTGAAGGAAGAGGAAAGAGGAATTACTCACGAGTAAAGAGTATTTGGTAAAAAATTACTCAAGTACTGATCAAATTATCAATCATCATTACATCATTCGACGGACCAAATTATAAAGTTAAGTGTAAATTTTGGTATTTTTAGAACAAAAATGATAATAATTCATATAAGTAACAAATAACAAAATCAGGCAAATCCAGAAGTTTTACTCAAGTAAGAGTAAAAATACTTCATGATAAAGTTACTCAAGTAAAAGTAAAATCAATTACTTTACTTTTCTACAAAAAACAACAAAATCAAATAAATTTGCTTGATTTTATTCAGATATTTCAAAATTTTTAATGAAGTTTTTTTTTGCGCTTTTTTGTCCTGCAAGTTAATCGATCAATTGGATTTAAAAAATTGGGCAGATTTTTCATCTAAACACTTATTTTGTACAATAATAGAAATATATGAGAAAATTTATGTATTTAAATACCTTTTTTAAATGATAAACATTTTATTGCCTAAAATGTAATAAATAGCATTAACTTTTTGCTGCGATGGATATGTTTGTTTTTTTTCAGTAATTGGCCTTTTTTTAGTCTGTATTCGATTAATTGATTATTAAATCAGTGGACGATTATGTAAATAATTGATTCATTGTTTCAGTGCTACTATAGAAGGAAATGCAGGCGAGCCAAGCGGCGCCCTGAGGGACGCCACTGCTCCAAATACATCAGAGGATTTAAGAAGCAGCTCCTCACTGCAAGTTTTCCCTCAATGTTTCCATTTTCATCTGAGCACACCTTAAAAATGCATTTAGTGTTAGATAATGGGTAATATTCATATCAATACTCTGTTCTGTTGCCCCACTTTGGGCGTCGCTGTCCAACCAGGTTGAGGAAATGTTAAATGTTCAGAGTTTTGAGGACGGATTTACAAACACAACCCTTAATTTTTCAGTTTTTTTTATTTTACTAAGCCATAATTTTATTTTATTTTTGTCTATTTTTCCAAAGAGGATTCTTGTGTGAAAACATAAAAGCCGGCACTCCGACTGTATTAATCTTAAAAGGAAGTGTGAGACCCCCTGCTGCTAAATGTATGAGGAGCTTTTGTTTCTACTTTTCCTCTGCAATGTGGCGTCTACTTCCTGTTCAGTGAATTTAACCAAATTTAGATGAGATATTGAAGCAAAAATAGATTCTACAGCGAGTCTTTTTGTGTTTTAATGAAGAGTAGACTCAAACTTTCCTCCCGATTGCCTCTGCAGGCGGTCGATGCTGCGACTGCAGAGTGTTTGGCTCTGAGGGACCAAGTGGCCGTCTATGAGGAAGAGCTGGCCAACATGGAGACCCAACACAAGATGGTGAGAGAAATCAGTCAGATGAAGCAGAAAAATATTAGAAATGAGAAACTATTTCTGTGGTGACAAACTCCAACCTTCAGTCGATTTGCTGAATCAAAGGCTACGTTCACACAGCAGGATAATGCGACGTTAATTCATTTTTTCTCTATTCTTGACTTTATCATCAAGATAAAGTAAAAAAAATTAAAGTTTTCAACAAGTGACAAAATCATCTCGTCAACTTTTGTCCTGTAATTCTGACAATATAAAAGCAAAAATAAATGAGGAATATATAAACACTTTATCACTTTTCTTTTCCTGTGTACAACTTGGTAACAAAAACACATTTAAGGAATGTCATTAAAATAGTTTGTTTTTAAGGCCGTTATTGGGTCAGTTCCTCTAAAAACAGTCAGTAGAGATAAATTAAAAGACAAAATCAAGAAAAAGCCTCAGTGGAAGAAAAACTTTCTTCTTCTTGTCTCGTTTCCTTTCATCATGAATCAACATCCTGCAGATTAAAGGAGAAAATGAGAGAGTAGCCGATGAGCCAGACATAAATAACAGATCAGTTTCCTTCTGGGGATTTCCACTTTTAATTGTTTACGGTTCTTTTCTGCAAAGCTACAACGCTATAAGTTTGTACGAAAAAGTGTTTTTCCTTTCATTCATGTACCTGAAGTATGGCTGAAACACTTAAAACTAAAAATAAGTTAATCTTTTAGGAATAAGCTGTTGACATATTATTTAAGCATGAATATAGAAACTCATAACAAAACGACTTGAAAAATCACTTTCAGTGAAAGTTTTAAAAGTCCTTTGAAGATCCACAAGAAATTTAATCAGAGCTGTCCATCAGCAAACCTCAGAGATATTAGAACCGTTCCGAAAGCTTCAGATCTCGGTCATTTCCAACATTATCTGTCACAAATTAATTAAAAATCTGCTTTTGCCTTTTTTCTCTTTATTAACCTGGAAATCTGAGGAATTCAGTTTTATTTGAAGGCAGTTTTTGTGGCTATTTCAAGACATTTTAGTTTCCATTTGAACTTGAAACAGAGAGAAACTTTAAAGTATGCGGTGACAGTTGGTTTACATCAAACATCTGCACAGTCTTTATATTTACCAAACACACAATGCAGCTAAATTAATTATTTGCTTGTTCTTATGCCAAAATAGTGAAGCGGTCCTTTAAAATAACTTTGTTTGCATCCATGCGTCGTCGCTGCGCGGCGCAGTGATCCTCCGCCTCACCAGAAGATGACAGACGCAGCCCAGCCGAACCCGGAGCAACTCCATCTTTCCCTCTGCTGCCCGACCCTGAAACCCGCCCACTCCCTCCGGACCACAACTCAGTGTGGGAAATGTGGATAAACCTCAAATAAAAACAGAAATCAGCTTGCTTATTCCAATTTCTCCTGACAAATCAGGAGTCATTATTCAGCTGCAGAAAAATGTTGCCTCTGAATAATGAAGTGGCAACTCCCATTCAACGATGAAGAAATCCATGCAGAGGTTGTTTCTGTAATAAACTGGATGGGCCTTGACAGCGCCGTTGCTTCTCATACTGTATTAAAGAAGAGCGTGCCGTCTGGATGGACGATCATCAGGGTGCTTGTCTATGTGTTGGGTGTCTGTGCAGGAGGTGGAGAACCGGCTGCAGCCAGATGAAAGGGCGATCAGGTTTGGCAGCCCTGACATCACCGCAGCCTTGGAAGTGAAGGAGTACCACCGCCAGCTGGCTGAGAGCCTCCAGGTACGGAACACCAAACATGCCACGAGGAAGTTTGATATTTCTGGGTGTAGTCTCCAGGATGTGTCCAGATAAACCTAATAAAAAACAAAATGTACCTTTATCCTGCTGATTTAAAACTCTTTTTCAGAGTTTGGTTGTGGCTAATTACATTTAGCTGAGTATTTTTAGTCTGCTGTTATTATACATAAATAATTTTATTTTGAAGTTCCTTTACAAATGTACGCAAAGCTTTGTCGATAGTCCGCTAACATTGAAAAAACAATAAGTGTTTCTTTTCCCTGTCTTTATTTTGTTGTTATGCTGTAATAATCATATTCCTTTAGTTCTCCACAGACCTTTATTTTCTTTCATGTGGTGAAATAAATGTGAAATGGTTGATGTTTTGATCAGTAATTCAGTGCTTGAGTAGCTTTTTTACCAAATCACTTTTTACTCTTACTTGAATAATTTCCTAAATAGCTTCATATACTTGAGTAAAAATACATTGAAGCAGTGCTACAGGTTTTGAATTCTCTCCTCTGTGCAGCGAATAAAGCTGTAAAACCAGCTGACCAAACCTGTTGGTTGGAGCTGCTGGGTTGCTAGGCGATGGGCTAGGCTGGCTGGGGTTGCTAATTCTCTTAACTCCTCATTTTCAAGAAACCGAGAAACATCAACTTATTGCCCAAAATGTCTAGCATTTGTGCATCTGTGCATTCATGAGTCCTTAATTGCACCTTTTGCTGTGTGAAGCGATGTTTTTCTCTTTATTGCAGCACTGATTCTTATTTAATTAAGATCCTTCTGACAGCTGCTCCTCATCCTCTCTGCTGATCGCCTCCTCTTCTCCCCCCACTCGGGTCTCCACATAAATCTCAGCTTTCACAAATCATGCTGCGACACCCCGACTTGTTTTCTTTACCTCTTAGCACAACAGAGGAGAAGAACCTGAGAGTCGGGCTTGTAGTTCTGGACCCGGACAGAACGGGTTTCGTCCACCTCTGTAGTTGCAGTGCAACTCAAAGGTGCAGCACGGAGGTCAGGCTGGAACTCCGGTGGGTCTGACCCTGTCTGGGGTGAGGATGTCTGCTGGTTCAGAGGTCAGGGCTGTAATCAGACTGCAGGCCGCCTTCCCAGGCTCCCTCTCAGCTCTGGACTGGACGTTTTTAGAGGCATTTGAAAAGAAAATGATCCATTTTTATTTGAATCATTATTTGTAGCTTGTACTACACCGGTACAAGCTTCATTCAGAGGGCCTTGGCTTTCGGCTGTTGAGAAAGGATTACTTCCTGGACTCAGTTGAAGTTTTAGGATGTTTTCACACCTGCAGACTGGGTCATTTGGGGACAAAAATTGAAACATTTGTTATATTTTCAGCTGCTGTGGTTCACTTTCACACTGCCCTGTCAAATGAACCAAATCTTTTAAAAAAAACATGTGCCCTTCCTCACCTGCGGGGGCGCTGCACCAAGAATCACGGAAGAAAATGACAAGAAAACCTGTGAAGACGACACTGAGCGCAACTTTCAAAAAATAAAAATGTTAAGAACGGACTAGCGTCAGATTGTAGAGGTTAAAGGACTTCACTTTTGTGTTTGGCAAAAAAACACAAACCGCTATGCTTTTGTTTTGGTTGTATTTATCCAAACTATGGCGCCATTGTTCTCTTTCTGCTTTTACATGATTTTCAGCCAGCTATGCATTTACATATGCATTCAGACCAGGTCAGAGTTCACTTCAGCTGAACTGAGGTTTTTAAACAGACCAGAATTTGCTTTTTTGTTCCACATCGTGTTCACTTCTCCCCAAGCAAACCTGACTGTCCAGACAAATGAACTAGAGTTTTATTAAAGTGAACTAAACAGGGCTTAAACTTTACCCATCCAGTAGCGTTTGACATATGTCATGTGCCATTTCGACACTATGAAGCTTACCGGAAATTGCCTGTGCTGAAAGCAGTCATCCTCCAATGGTGAACTGAACAAGATGACAACAGAGTTGATATGTGTAGGAAAACAGTTGCAAGGCCAGTGTCTGTCTCGAAGTGACGGTTCTGGTTTTTCTGCCTAAATCCCATCTATTTACTCTCTCCCTCCCACTCGGCCTCTTCCTCTGCCAGCTGGACGGCGTCCTGTCTGCGCCTGGCCTCAATTATGAGACACGACTGTCTCGATGTTCAAATGATTGCTGTTGGATTTAAACAGGAATGGTGATTGTTGGCTGCGTCCCACACACCTGTGCGCCCTCATGTTGCCCGTTTCGGCTGTTTCCCCTCCAATGTAATTACAAATCAGGTGCATGAAGAGAGCTTTGCTCATCCACCCCTCAGAAGGGGCTTTTTGCACCGTCTGTCAAAGTGCACTTACCTTACTCAATGAGTCGCCTCTGTGATCTCTCTGATTTTCAACTTTGCAAACTTATGACTGCTCTGTCTCCTAATCGTTTGTTTCTTCAGCTGGAGTTTGGGGCGCTCTCCTCTGGCAAAGGCAATGGAAAGAAACTGGAAGCGAGAGGAACTGGTGGGTCAATGGTGAAAGACCCAACAGAGATAACTGATGTGGACGAGATGAAGACTCTGGTGAGTGAGCGTCCTCCTCTCATTAGCTACATTACAAGGGAAAGTCATCCAAATTACAAAAAGTGCAGCCACGTGAAGAAATTTAAAAGATTTTCTGGGTCAGATCAGGTAATTTTTACTTCTAAACCGTCCCTGCAGACTACTGCAAGAACTCATGTGTTTCTTATGCAAGTATTAAATATAATTTTCCAGAGATGGTTTTAAATGGCTCGTTACCAGACAACAAAATTCATAATCTTATTGCCAAAAAACGCCTGGGTGTTTTCTTTTTTAAAGCATTTGGCTGTTTTTAGAAGCAGTTGAAACCCCAATGGCAGTACAAAAACATGGAAAATTAATTTTTCACTATAACTTTCCTTTTTTAGGTTGTTTGCACTAGCCATCTTGTTATAGATGAGCAAAATACTTTCGGTCATTTTTCAGGGGTTTTGAACTTTTTATCAGCTGTAATTTGCTGATATCATTTGTAAAGGCAAGAGCCACAACAGGAAGAAACGTTAAAGTCAAACTCATAATTAGTCTCCTTTTGGTCTACATCCTCTAATTATACATTCTGAGCTTCTTTATCAACAAAGATCAGATAAGACTGAGTTCGTATCACAGCCTGAAACAGAATGGTTTCTCACAGCAGGCGAGGAGCAGCTGAGTGACAGAGGAGCAGCAGTGTGGGAGATCCTGAGTGTTTACTCTCAGGACACTTTCTGCAGGAGATGTGAAAGCCCGTCTGCAGCCCAGACAGGATTTATCTCCCTTAGTGGCCTCGGTTATTAACCACAGGCTTACAGATTGGCTCCAGAGTCATAAAAGTCTGAAAAGTTTATACACTCACTGCCTCAAGACATATGTTGCGATTTGAAAAGTGGAAATAAATCTTGATCAGCCATTTTTTACCCATCCTCATACAAGAAGATCCCAGAAAAAGCCTCTAGGACGTTACAGAAAGATAACGTGGCTCAGATGAAGATGGAAACCGCCTCCTTCCCAGTCTCCTCTTGTTCTCTTAAAAAATGGGCACTATTCTGCAAAATTCACATATTTTAAGTTTTTACACTTCCATTTAGGCTTCTACTGCTTCTAAACAGCCGCAGTGCTGGGAAAACAACACCCAGTCGTTTTCTGACAAAAAGTTCATGTGTTTTGGTGTCTGCTTCAAAAGTGTACCATGTGTCGTTACCTAGCAACCCCTGCCAAGCCCACCCCGTTCCCTAGCAACCCCTGCCAAGCCCGTTCCCTAGCAACCCCTGCCAAGCCCGTTCCCTAGCAACCCTGCCAAGCCCGTTCCCTAGCAACCCAAGCAGCATTCTAAGTTTTTACTGCCGGAAAAAAGAAGTTTGAGTTCATTGGATGAATAGTGTAGAGAAAACATAAACAGTTATGTACAAAGAAAATAGTAAAATTATTGTACAGTTTCTGTAACAGCCATGTACAAAGAATACAAATTTAAAACAAAGACAAACAAAAGAACAATAAAATATATTTACCCGTTCAAAGAAGCAAAAAATATGAACTTATTTTTACACCCACCTGTCTTACCGATATCTTAATATTCATGTTAGAGTGGATCTAAAAGTCTTTCTATGTTACTGTTTTCTATGTTCATGTCACTGCAATGCATTCATATTTGCACACCATTATGAGCAAACATCAAACATGTGAAAATTATTTCTTTATCAATATACCTTAATGCAGTAATAAGTGTCAACTTCATCGGGTAGTAACAATAACATTGGTAATAGCAGTAAGATGGCTGAAAACCTTATAAGCTTTTCAATTATAGATAATTGTCTGTCAGTAATTATTGATTAGTTGTTTTTTTAAATATCTGAAGTACAGTCAAACTAATATTAGCTTTTCTTTTTTATCTACACTTTTCTTTCCATTTTGTTCCTTATTTTTAAGCAGTTATGAGGCACCTTGGTGAAACCTGAAACTGCTGCTGTGCCAGTTACTGAACAGGTTGTTGTTAAGCAACGAAAGAGTGAGAGAGTTAGTTGACTGTGACTGTGACTATTGAATATTCTATCAGATGTTTTATGATATTGATCACATGTCTACAGAGATATATATGTAGTTATTTACCTATTTTCCAGCTCTAAGCAGAACTAACACTAAGTGTTAGAAACCACTTGCTGCTTTCTTGCTGGTTGTGCAGGAGGCTCCACTTCTGCTTTTAAAAGATGTACAGGCATTTGCAGGCATTTTCATGTGTGAGTATAAACGTTGAGTTGGGGGCGTGGCCAGCAGCAGATTGCTTGGATTTAAAGAGGCAAAAAGCCATAAAAGCTCCAAATAGGAAGAATTGACCAAAATCTCATTACCTAAGAATGATTTTGTAATGAACTTGTTTTGTGTAGCCCATAAATTTCCTAACCTGTTCAAGGAAGCATAATAGGTCATCTTTAACATCCATCAATGGTTTCACCACAGCTGACCACATCTGTAGCAAACCTGGTGGTTTGGTTCTCATTACCGAGGCTGCGGCTCCACTTCCAGCTCTTTAAATAAACACCAAGCCTCTGAAACCACAGCACAGCTCCTCCAACATCATCCACTTCTCTCCAACACGAGCGCCGCTCAGGTCAGCGCCGCCTGACGGATGTGCAGCTCAACTCGACCTGCTCTGCTTCCTCTCTCGCCTCTGATGGATGCTCAGGCTCTGGTTTCTCACTGAGACACAACAAACCAAACAAACACATTGCAGTGAAATCAGGCCCGACTCAGGACTGTATATAATAGAGCAGGCAGTGATGGCGACCAAAGCCGCTGCTCGCATATACAGGCATGACTCCACTCCACTTATCATGCCAGGCGGAAGGAGGAGAGGACTCTCACTTGGCTCCGACGGTTTGGGTTTTCCTCTGCTCGGATGGTTTCTCTGAAATGTGAGCCTGATCCCCATCTGGTTGGGACAGATAATTGTTGAACTTCTATGATTGCTGCAATTACTCATGGCAGGGCAACGCAGACACCGACTCTGAGGGACGGATGCTCCTATAAGCTAACCTTGCCTTTTTGTGTTTGTTGATTTTGTTCTTTGTAGCTCCAGCTCACTATTATTTTATCATTTTTAGGACAGAAATGAATCAAGTTACTGTGTACTGTAAGCTGTGAAAGTGCTTATTCTGCATCCAAGGAGCCAGACGTTCTAGCAATTTACTAACGTTATATAAATCTGGAGTTTTTTCTGTCCTCTCACATTACACTGATGTCCAAAGTTTTTGCCAAAATCATCATGTTGAAAGTTCTCGTTGGCCTCAGTTTTTTAAATTAAAAGCCGCACAATAATTTATCAGCAACATTTGACCCATCCAGCAAAAAACTGAACTCACGATATTTCAATTAAAAAAGCAAATTCTGATCTTTAGGTGGAAGAATATAATTAAATCATAGTTCCATTGACAGAATATTTCACTTATAACTTGGAAAAAATGTCTTGTTCCAAATTAAATAATCCACCAATGGAACTACCATTTTTAAATCAGCATTGAGGAATTGTTAACTTAAAACCAGCTCATATTTCTTGCTGAAAAGTTATTTTTAAGTTAATTTTGTCTTGTTTCAAGTGTATATTTGCAGTAGAAACTAAACAAATATACTTGGTAAGAAGTACGCCATATCTCCCTTGGAAAGAATTACCTTAAGTCTGCTTTTGAGAAAAAGTTTCTTCAAGTTTGAAGTCCTATTTACTGTGAAATTAAAATGGTCAGTGAACCAAACCACACAATCTTACTTGTTCCTGTGTTATAAATAACAAACGCTGACCTTAGAAAATGTAAAAAGTGCATTTGCCTTTGGCTGGTGGGCCACGTGTAATAAACCCGAGAGCCACAAATGGCCTGCATACCGCATGTTGTTCACCCATTTTGTAGCTTACAGGGTGTAGCTAAATTACTGTATATCTTTAGGGAAAAATAAGTGTAAAAAAATTATTAAATGCACAAAAACATAAAAATTAGTGTATTATATGAGGAGCTCGACTTACAGCAGTTCATTTTCACACTTTGTGGCAGAAATTTGATTATCCTGAATAAGTTTGGTGAATCTTAAGTGACTTAGGGAAACAAAATATTTGTCTAAAATGGCTTTTGGCCCAAAAAAGTGGTGAAAAAGCAACCCGACTCCAAAGGATTCAGAAACCCTCAATAAAAATAGATCAAAACCACTTTAAAGAAAAGTTGTTTTCAATGCTTCAGTCTTTTGTACATTAAGTTTGAGGTTGCAAGTGTTAGTTTTAGGTAACCATCCATTGCAGGTCATTGATCTGGTTTTATATTTTACAAATTGATCTGTCCTCTTCCCCTTTCGCAGCGATTGTAGGCATGAAAGTCTTACAGTCATGATGACCATTGCAAATTATCCATTTAATGCTGAAGCGTTTCACCCTAAAACCACAAATGTGAACCTTGTGGTAGGGCAGGATGAATTGTTGGGGGATCACCAAAGTCAGTGGGAATCGTCATCTGGAAACAATGAATGTCTGCATGAATTTTGATGGCAATCCATTAAGCATACATCGAGATATTCCCATCTGGATCACATTCGTGGGGCATTGCACTGACATGGCTGTAAGCATCGTTAAACGGCTCTAATAAGGCTAAATCAGAGCTGAACGACAAGAAAATTTGGGATTTGTGGTCATCAGGTGGTCAGAAATATGACTAAATACAGAATACATCCAATAATCGTTGCGTTTAAATAATTACAGGCATCAATGTTGTGTGCCAGATGTTGGTATGTAGTTGATTAATAGATATTTACCCATATTCATGATCTCTGTGTTAAGTAAAGTGAGTTTGCTGATAATCTAAAGTTGATTCATCTTATGTAGATCAACTTAACTAGCAAGAGGCCGACCACCTTTCAGTAAGAGGAAACGCCAAATCTTTCATCATGCTGAATTTTAAAAATATATTAAATTTTAACATTATTTTGGATCTGCTGTATTAAATACCGACCAAATAAACACAAAATTGTATTTTTGTCACTATAATAAATCTGGACATATTAAATGAAATCTCTCGGTCACTGAATAGAAAAATAGGAGGAAGATACTTTGGAACTGGTTGCTATCCTATTTCTCTCCTCCACTTTTCTGTCGTCACATTCTCACCTTCGACGTTGCTCCCTAATGCGACCCGCCTGAATGAGAACTTTTAAGGTGAAACTTGAGGAGTTTGTCAACTGTTTATATTTCAAAACAGAACGTTACGTGCATTATGAATCCCAACCCGAACTCTTTTGTGGGACGTTTTTTTTTCCTCTGCTGCCATCTTCGATTTAAAAAATAGTAACGATGATAATTCCTCCGCTGAAGAATGACCGGCAGCGCCCTCTGCTGTTTGGCGGTCAAACTACAACAAAAAGTCTAAACATGTTATTAGCTAATCAATTGGAACTATGTTTTATAAACCATCAACCCACAATTAGCAGAAAAAGCACATTAACAGCAGAAAGTGTCATAACGTAAGTGAACGGCTGGTGTCGGATGTCTTTCTGCAGATTTCAGAGCTGCAGAAGGAACTCGACGACCTTGAGAAGAGAAACGAGGAGATGTTGGAGGAAGTTGAGGTGAAAGGGGCCGTGTACATGGATGAGGTTGAAGAGCTGGAGGTATTGGATTGGATCTCTTGCTGCAGATTTTCTAACTTGAGCTCCTTGGTTTTTCTTCTTGAAACACTCCAAATCATCTGTTGTTCAGTTTACTATAGCAGAAATGACACAGCAGGAGGTTGACTTCAAATCCCAGATGAAGGATCAGTGTGAGGAGTACAGGGAGCTGCTCAGTGAGAAGATGGCAAGAGACATGGAGATCGCCGCCTACAGGTAAGAAAAGATGACGCCCACTTGTACATGAAAATAAGCTCCAATCATCCTGTAGTCAACAGATGATGTTTTAACTAAGAGTTAGAAATGGTAAACTTTTAGGAGGCTTTCAGGAAAAATAGCTACTTTCTACAGAAGAGTCAACAATTCTCTGAAGAGAGTATTTCAAGCTAAATTTGGTTTATTTCCTTTTTTACCGATGAAACTCTGATGACCCAAACAGGTCTGTCTGCCTAGTTCTGGATGGATGCAGTAGGTGTGTTCTGACTGATCCAAAGTATTAGCGCACATTGCTAATATGAAAATTAACTAATAGTGGAGCTAATTTTGTTTAGCTCTTTTGCCAGCCTTGAAGATGCATTTAACTTCCCCTAAATTGATTTTTCAATATACATTATATTGCTTGAACTGTTTTCTAAACTTTTAGTTGTGTTGAAGGTTTTCATCTCCAAGTAGTGAGATGTTTATATTCATGCTCTTATTTTGAAGTGGCTGTAGACTCTATACGAAGCACATTCTCTCATTTCCCCGTACCAATACCTTTAATTTATTTGAATTTAATAGAAAATACTGCATTGATCTGAAAGGAAAATTAAATAAATTTCAAACAAGGACCATACAGGAACAAAAATCATGAGTAGAGTCCAATATCTAAGGGCATTATAGAATATAAATTATAATGTCAAACTAAAATAATTAAATTGATGCTTGAGGGTTGTTGTCTTTCAAGGGCAGACATAATTTGATTTGAAGTTAGCGCTTTAGCATTAGCGTCCGCTAAATGCCGTGTTGGTATAGCATAGCAGCGTCTAATGTTAGCACCTTAGGGTTAGCATAACTAACTTTTCAGTCATACACAGAATAGTTTTACTGATTTCCGTTTTCCAAATGAAGAGATAACTATTAGGAGGCCATGTCACAGTTTTTGTGTTGTAGTTTACAGCTAAATTAATGTCACTTTAGTTGGCCAGTAGAAGGAAGGTACTTTTTTTTTCTGTGGTTAGTTGTGAAAACAATGTTAAACTTTTCAGCTTTAGCCTCTTTATAGGACCACATCTCAATCATAAATACAAAGTTCACCCTTGTAGTAATATTTTAGCACGCTCATTGTGCCGTTGCCGCAAGGGTTTACAGTAGAGACTGGGGAAGATTTATGTAAAGTTAAGTTTGATTGTTAGTGTGACTGTCAGTCAAAGGGAAGGCATGGTGGGGTTTTTTATTAAAAGAAAAACACAGCACAAAGTGATTTCTCTGATAAGTTTGTCATCCTCTTGCATGTCCTCATCAAGTCTGGTTGCAGTTATAACCCACAGATCCTGACATCGTTTGTGAAAGTGTTTCTCCATGGTAGGGGGTCAGATGGAAACAGATGGCGCTCAACAATGTTCCCCTTTAGGAAGTGTCTTCTGATGGGTTTGAAGAACAGCGCATGGTGGTCCTGCCATGTTTATCTTAGATTTTAATCTGCTGGATGCTGAGTTTGATGTTTGTTTTGTGTCAGAAGAAAATGGATATTCACAGTACCATGCAAAGATATTAGCAGGTTAAAATCGCAAACTGCACCGTATGTTTAGGGATTTTATGACTTGAAGACAGCAAATTCATCCAGACACTGATCAACATGTTTTTCCCTTAATGTCCAAGTTGTTTCTGTATGGTCCTACTAGATTTGTTTTGTATTTATTAAAATATACAAATCTATTATTATTATTATCATTATTATTATTATTGAAATATTTGCACTGGCTTTGAGAGTTGCTACTTTTTAAATTTTGTTGTGCTTTCTTGCACGATGACAGTAAAGGAATTGTGACTCTAATTGTGAAAAAGAGAGAACATAAAATATGATTTTTTCACATTTTTGCCAAGAAAAATATTCATAATCTTAATGTGATCCACAACTAGTTGCTTCATTAAATACGTTGTTTTTTTCTATTAACATAATTTTTTTTTTTGCTTGTGATACGTTAAAACACATAATTATTTCAAAAGTTGTCTGGTGCATGTTTATGACTTTTCCCCAAATTTTTCATGTGCCGTTATACTCAATGTATCTGTTGAAACAAACAGACACGATGGACTGTATTAGCCAGAGCTAACTCCTTTAGCAGGAGCTAACATGAAATTAGAACAAGTAGGAAGTTAATGAGTGGATGTTTAAAGTCATAATGAAGCGTCTTTACACAACTATAATATATTTGGGTGAATGTTTTGAGCCTGATGCTAACAGTAAACATCCTGGTTTAGAAACTGGAGCTCTTTGCATTTTAAAGTAGAAGCAGCACAAACTTTTATGGTTGAATACCATTTTGATGCTCATTTTCATTTCTTCTTGTCACAGTGTTTTATTTCATGTGTTCCTATTGTCTTATACAGTAAATTTGACTTCTTCTGAATTTCTTCTCAGCTCTCCTTCTTGCCACAAAAGCTACATTTGTGTATTGTGGAATTAACCGGTGAAATTTAATAGTAATGTGAACTAGAAATCTTCATTTATTCTAATGGAAGGCCCCACTGAGGGTTTCTGAATGTATTTTTTTTATGTTTAATGCTGCCCAGCCTCTCATTTGGAGCCGAACTGTAAGACTTTTTCTCTCCTCTGTATGTCTGCATGAAGTCATGTGGGAGGAGAAACTTAAAGGTTATTTTGTTGCCCGTCTCACGTAGTTTGGCCTGGAAATCCGCAGGTTCTTTTTAAGATGTTTCTGCAGACAGGCTTGACATCCGTGTCCGCCCGGGTCACAGGAAACAACTCCTGGAAGTGATGCAGCTTCCTGCATATGGCCTTGAGGCTTTCTTGTCATTTCCCTCGGTTCACTGAGGTTGTTCAACCATCTGCCATCCTGCTATGTGAAGTGACGCACTTCTGCCATCCCATGTCGTCGCCACAGACATCGTCTTGCTCTCTGTGCCACCGCCTCTGACCTGCAGGGGGCCCTGCTGTGTTTTGAGCTGAGATCCATGAGAATTAAAGGGGACCTATTATGCAAAATTCACATTTTGCATGTTTGGGTCTCAAATGCTTCTAAAAACAAGCCAAGCGCTAAACGCCCACCCAAATATCCTCACATTCATGACGTAGACAATAACACTGATTGGATAAAATGTTACTGCTAATTCTTTTGATCCAAGAAAATAGCGACCATCTCTTATGTAAAAGAAACTAAGACAATTAAATTAACACATTTGCAAGTTTTTGTTCTTCCATTTGGGTCTCAAACCCATGAAATGCTCAAAGGAACCACTCAGCCATTTTATGGTAATAATTTGATGTTTTTGGTGTCTGGAAAACGAGCCACTTCAAAAACCTCTCAGTTGTTAAGTTATATTTGACAGCACTGCTCCTGTTTGAATTTAAAGTGACAGGAGGCCATAAAAGAAGCTCCAAATTGGCAAAATTGACTAAAATCTCATTATCTGAGAATGATTTTGTAATGAACTTGTTCTGTGTAGCCCATAAATTTCCTAACGTTTTCAAGGAAGCATTTTAACATACTCATTTACTAATCCTCCACAGTTCCAGTTCCCTCTCTTTGACTCACACAGTAAACCCTCACCCAATGTTTTCCCTACTTTTCTTTATATAGCGGGTGTTTTGTTATCCTTAAGTGGATCCATAAATAGGAAATGACTTTTTGGGTTTAAATTGCCTCCACCACACACACTAACTACCCCAGTTTACCCTTACTGTAGGGTTTGTGGCCCAGGAAAGTTATTTCAGAGCAGCTCCAGCAGATGCTCTGTGCTTCAGTTTTCTGAAAATGTGGACAACGTTTGACTGTAAGTCTTTCTGCCATCGCTCTGCTGCGTCACACACAGATCCTTCCTGATTTACGTCACGCTGACAGCTGAGCTCCACATGGCTGGACTTTATCACCAAACATCTGGATTTATTGGTTTAATCAGCTTTTGAATGAATAGGAGGTAAAAACAACCTGAGGTGTGAAAATATATATGACAAAAAAACATGAAACCTGTTTATAGAAAAACTGATTATATGAAAATCTATTTGATTATTTAGATGATTTAAAACATTCTGGACTTTTTTCTCGTCCGTAAAAATACAAGCACAGGATTTATTTGGACACTGCATATTTTTTCAAATTTAACTTCTGTCTTAAGTAAAAGAGTGAAATTAAATTAAAAATATGATATATTTAATTTTGAGCTCATATCGTTAACGTCTCACTTCTCCCTAAATATCTGACAATCTATTTGTATCTGCTTGTTGCTGATATGTAAATTATAATTACCATCAGTCTGATTGATTCTGAAAACAAAATTACAAAGCAGGTGTTTGGTTTCCCTTCTGAACAACCTGCACCAGTTGTCTGTATGTTATTTACTTTGTTTGCATGTTTTACTGTTTTTCTGCCTTCCAGGAGTCTGGTGGAGGAAGAGGAGGTGAGACTCTGCAGCCTGTGACTCGGCCCGATCCAGTAGACCTCTGCTGGGTTCTCCCCTGATGCAAGATTAGAAAACAGCAAGAATGCACGACAAACGGACCCAGAATGAGCATTTTGATGAAGCTTTAGCCTCGTAGTTTTAGCCACTGATGGATTGAAGCTGCAGCCAGCTGATAACAGGTCGCATGCAGATGACCTGGAGACTAAGATGGATCAGTCTGAAACCTGCAGGAGGCTCAGGTCTGGCTCTAATACTCCTTTAAAGTGGGTTTTATCTCCTCCAGTTCTCTCATTCGCACACATTTTATTCTCTCTGTGTAAAACAAGGTTCAAATTTAAAGGGATAATATTGTGTAAAATCTTTTTTTTTTTTTTTTCATCTTCGTGTCCTTTTATGTTATTCCCTTATCAAAAACACACTTGGATTATTGTCTTAATTTTTTCATACATGTTTGAGGAATGCTTTGATCTCCATGGCAACCATTCAGTTGTGCAAAACGTCTGGGTGGACCTAGCTCCGCCTTCAAAGACAAAGCTCCGCCTTCAAAGACAAAGCTCCGCCTTCAAAGACAAAGCTCCACCTTCGAAGACAAAGCTCCACCTTCAAAGACAAAGCTCCACCTAAGAAGACAAAGCTCCGCCTTCGAAGACAAAGCTCCGCCTTCAAAGACAAAGCTCCACCTTCAAAGACAAAGCTCCACCTTCGAGGACAAAGCTCCACCTTCGAGGACAAAGCTCCGCCTTCAAAGACAAAGCTCCGCCTTCGAAGACAAAGCTCCACCTTCGAGGACAGAGCTCCTCCTTGGAGATGGAGTTTCAGATCTTTCACCTCACAGACTAGCTCTATTCAGCTCAGCTCCTTCAGACTAGCCAGCAGCAATTAGCAAACACTTGGTGGAACTTATAGGAGCTTCTTCTCAGTTCAACGCTGGTAAAAACGTTAAAGGGTTAATAAAAGCAAGTTTCAAGCAGAGCAGGTAGAGACAGAGGCCCAGTTTAAAGGTGTTAAATTACAAACTAAAAATTTAAGTTACATTTGATTTTCATGACAACTGAAGGAAACATTCAGTTGTTATGAATGTTATGACCCCTAACCCTACCACCCCCTTAATCTGCCCCTTTAACCTCAAAACTAAATTTTCCCTTTTATTGCCTTATTAGGACTGACGAGCCTGAATTCTTCAAACAAAACCAAAATCATAACAAAGTGGTTTGAGTTTCTGTAATGAATATTGTTTTGCTCTGATAATGAAAAGAGTTTTGATGTTACCTTTGTTGTAGTGATACAGTTAGCGCCTGGAGAACATATAATGCCGCCCCTTTAAATGCAGAAACACAGAGCCACCTCGTCTGTCACTCAAACTCCTTCTGATTGCCACCTCTTAACCTTTGACCCCCTTGCTGTAATCAGACACACAGACGGGCTCCTCCTCCGTCACTGAAAGTGTCCCACCTTGTTTTTGTTTTTACAGTCAGGTCTGCATGCTGCTTGTCAGAGTAAGCTGTGTTTGCTTAGCAAATGGCTCGTGAAGTTGTTTTTGTGCAACCTTCAACAAACGAGCACCTGGATGTGAGTGATTCATTGTTTCCTCTTCGAGAACCAGTGTCCCAATTTAATGTCATTTCACCAAAAAGTGTTCGGCAAAGCATTCCTGGCTAATCTTTTCCTTATTGTCAGCATTGCATCAAAGCTGCCTGCTATCAATCATCTTGCACAAGCATTAAAATGTACTTGGGATGTAGATTATATAAAACTGAATGCTTGAAAAATCACCGCAGATTGTGACTTATTCCAGAAGAGCCCTCGGTTTCATGAGAACTGCTCGCTCAAATGAGCTTCAGCGCTCTGTAAAACATCTTTTCAGAGCAGCGTGATTTATGTGGAGCACTCCGACTTTCATTGATCTTCATCCTCATCATGAGATTTTAACATTCCCAGCTGTTAAAGTTCTCAGAGGCTTGTTAGCTCTGGCATGAAGCTGAAAAATGCAGCTAATAACGGATCGGATTGGATTAGAGACGGTTGGAGGACCTCTGGAGACAAGAAACTCAGTGATAGCCGAGATCTGTTTCTGATGAAGAGGCCCTCAGGATCTGCTAAGATGCTTAAAGGTGACCTGTTATGTTTGCTCGACAAGGTTAGCATAAAATTATGGTCTATACAAAACATGTTTGCTACATATTTTACACAAAATCATTCTCAGATGATGAGATTTCAGTCTGGTCAGTTCTGTTTATTTCAGAATGAGCTGTTTTAGGGCATCTTGTTTCTTTAAATCCATGAACTGCTGCTGGCCACGCCCCCAACTCTACGTTTACACTCGCATGTAAAAATGGCTGGAAACAAACGCACAATTATACAACCATACATCTTAGAAAAGCAGAAGTGAAGCCTCCTGCACAACCAACAAGGATGCAGCAAGTGGTTTCTGGATAGTAAGTCCACAACAAAACATTTGTCTTTTTTCAGCAGCCATTATGCAACAGTAAAACCAGCTGACCAAACATCCTGGAGCTCTGCTTGGGTTGCTAGGTAACGGGCTGAGCTCTGCTTGGGTTGCTAGGTAATGGGCTGAGCTCTGTTTGGGTTGCTAGGTAACGACGCAGCGTCTGTGAAATGTGACTTTACAATCAGGAGGTTTTTGAAACTGCTCATTTTCCAGACACCGAAAAGTAAATGTATGGCAAATAAACAGCTTTTGTGGTTTTATTAAGCAGTTTTTTAGAAGCAACTGGAAAGATGTGGATTTTGCATAATAGGCCCTTTTTAAACATCCAAAAGTAAAAATACTAGCTAAAAAAGGCGATATCTGTGCTCTCACATCAAAAATAGGTGCTGTAAACTTTATCGTTTTGCTTTTTTTAGTCAGTCAGTGTTATCTTTGTTTCTGACGTAAGTAGAATATTTTCTGTTCAAAAATGCATCTGAACTCATAAAAATCAAATTAGTTTTGAGCTTTTAATGATTTATTTTTGGAAACATAAAGCAGCAAACAACCTTAAAAACACAAATCACACAAGTTCTTCTAATTTGTTGTGGATTTCTTCTAATCCACTCTCAGCCCAAACTATGAACACAGGCTCAGACATACCCACAGAGCCCCACTAATGTTACAGTAAATGTCCCTCACCAGCTTCCTTATGCTGCTCCTGTGTAAACATTGGCGCGGGCACAACTCCGAGTTGCCGAACGCAGACCTGACCCCACGTCCCTGAATACGTTTATATTTCAGCTGAAGCTGCATTCAGTAGCTTGTTGACAGCTTCAGCTGCATGTTGGGGTGAAAACCCCAGTGTCCGCCACGCCAGCCTCCCGGGTCAGGACAAAAAAAAGGTTCAATCTGATGATTTATGTGGGTCATACATTATTGTTGGGGAAAATTAATGCTAAGTTCCAACTGTCATGTTTGGTACTCATTCCAGCGTAATTGGGTTTTTCTTCAATCAGTTAAATTCAGGTTGTTTATATATACAGAAGTAACCAAAAATGTAACTCATGTAAAAGCAGCAATACTTGGACATGTTTTCACTCAAGTAAAAGTAAAAGTTACTCAAGTAAGAGTAAAATAGTATTTGGCAAAATGTCTACTCAAATACTATCAATCTTTTAATTTTTTAAAGCTAACTGAAAATGTTGGTGTTTTAATGATCAGAATGGCAATAATTCATATAACTAACAAAAAATAAAGTCAGGCCAACTAAGCTTTTGTTAAAAAATATTCTTTCAATAAAAAACTTTAACAGAAACTGCAGATGTTTGTCTGGTGAAGTTTTGGTTGAAACATGTTTGTTTTTCATCCAGTCGGCAGAAAGTCCGGAAATTTTACTCGGGTAATAGTAGAGATATTTTATAACTAAATTACTGAAGTAAAAGTAAAAAGTACATTGTTGTGAAAATATTCCTAAAAGTAAATTTTTTTCAAAAAAGTTACTTAGTAAGTGTAACTAGTTTCTACCAAACTCTGACATAAGACAATTTGGTACAAATATTCCCACTTCAATTTACTAAAGAAGTTAAAAATTCTGATTATTTCAGTAAAGACCTGAACAAACGCTTGTTAAATTATCTCCTCCACTCAACATCAAACAAACTACAAACCAATGAGCCTCAGATTCACTCAGCTCATAAAGATGTTGTAATTATATAAACGTTTTTTTATTTCTGTGTAATAATTCACACACACTCCACTGCATCGTTTCCTTTGTGCAGCTGAGGATTAGTCTGTTAGTCCAGTCCGTTTTTCAACTCTCACCAGAACTTGGTTCTTTCTTCTTTTTGTGTTGCCACATAAAGCCTGTCTGAACCTCTAATAGTTTTATAATCTTAGCCAAGAACGCCCCCAACACATGTCAGTGTAGGATTTTAGGATTAAACTCCCACATTTCAAACTTTAGCCAGACACTTTCAGCTCTGACTGGGGGTTTTACAGAAGGAGGAAAATAAACTTTAAATAATCAAAGTCAAGGAATTCCTCATGCTTATTTGTTCAATATTTACCCCCCAAAAATAATATTTTAACAATTCTTGGTCCTGTGTTTTTTTTTCAACATTAGTGGAATATCGGCCACATTTGTATTGCAAACCCGTCTACTGACCCAACGATGCTCTTATTTATAAAAATTACATTGCTGTCGCATCTGACCTTCTGTTCGGAAAGTTTTTGAAGGCATTTAGAAAACATGGCTAAGAAATCTTTATTCCTCAGTTTAATAAAAGGTTTATTCGGTTGTTACACTGCAAAAACAAAATCTTACCAAGTAACTTTGGGCTAGTCTAGTTTCTCATGCAAATATCTTAATACACTCAAAATAAGGCAAAATTTACACATAAATGACTTCATGTGACGTCTGAAAGGAAGGAAAAAGGAGTTTATTGTAAGTAAATAATTCCTTAATATTGATGAAAAGTTCTTGTTCTACTGGCAGATTATTTCACTTATAAGCAGACATTGTTCCAGGGTTTTAAGTAAATAATCTGCCAGTGGAACAAAAACTTTTTTATCAATATTAAGAGCTGAAAAGTTACTTCTAAGTCAGTTTTGTGTTAATTCAAGTGTACTCTAGAAACTAGACCAAAAGTACTTGGTAGGATTTTGCGTTTTTGCAGTGCACCAGCTAATAATTCATGGAAAGCAGTTTCATTATCATTCTGATTTGTTGCATTTTGTTCACAGGTCAGAAATGGCTGTAACTCGTGCAATGTTTATTTTTATTTCACTCAAACCTCACGGTGGCACCAGAGATGAAGTGTGGAGGATTCCTCTTCAGAGTGCCAGGGTTTTTTTTTTAAGTCATGATTTAAAAAGAACTGACTGTGAACTACTAAATGAATTTTCTGCACAATAAGATAAAAATGATCTCTGTGTTTGTGATAGATAATGGAAAGATAAACAAAATGGGCTTAAATGAGCTTTTAATGGAAGTAAAAATATCAGTGTTTTTAAAAAAGTGGTTTGGAAAACCTTTATTTTTTTATTTATGTAGTGATCCCTGCACCCCTCGTTTTCCTTTGCTGACATCAAACATCTGTGATAACAGAGGAAAATGTGTATTAACCCCTAGAAGATGGTTGGTGACACAGAGTGACCCAGGGCAGGGGTTCAACGCCTCCCATCCTTAAAGAAGGCCGAGCCTTTCAAAGCCGAGAGGCTGATCAGAGGTTTTTCTTTTTTAAACGTTCGTTTTCAGGAGGCGGGGCAAAACCCGACTAATGCTAACAAACACCGGATCGAGTGCTTTGGGTTGGAAAAAGATTGAATGTGTCGGTGTGATTGTGCTGAAAGAGGCCACTTCACACAACATGTGCTGCGTTCATAACATCCAGTTAAGTTCACATGGCTTCACATTAAGAGTGACAGGGCCGGGCTGATAAATTATGACATGTGAGCTCGTTGTATCGGTCAACATATCTTCAATCTGCAGCACAGAAATCTGATTAAGGCCTGAGGTAATGCTAACCAAGGTCAGCTAGCATGTTGTCACCTACGCATAGGTAACCCTACAAAAGATCTCGCGGCCCTTCAGGTTCACTCAGGCAAATAAACACTGTCTTCACAGAGGACAAAAGCCATTTTTTAAAGTCTCTTCTTGGCAGCTTGAGTGTAGCGAACCAAGCCGGTGTTTAGAAAGCAAATAAATAAGAGAGGACAGGGTTGGATCAAGGAAGAAATAAGGACAGTAAAAATATACAAAGGAGAAAGAGCTATTGAGAAAGTATTTCCTTAACAAGAGGGGAACAAATAATAAATTAAGGGGCCCCTATTCCCCTGTGGACGGACTGGCATGCCTGAGGGTGGAAGGAAGTGGGCATCTCTCCGTTTATAGGGGTCACGGACAGCCTTCCACTGTGGGAGCGCCACGCAAGACGAGTCCTGAGAGAAAACTGTTCGCAGGAATGTTTACACACACAAACACGCATACCACAGCGCACACCGAGTTTACAGGCCATGCGAGGCTGAATGAAAGCAGCGGCAAGGACTGCGCTGCCCTCATGTCCCTCATCGTCCCACTGCTTCAGTTTCTGGCCTCCTCATATCTCCCACTTGGCCTGTATAACTGAGAGACTGCTGACAGCAACGACCTCACGTTTACCCCAAACTCCACCAGCCGCCATCCCCAAGCAGGTGGCAGGCACCACCAACACCAGGCTCCTCTTCTACGCTGCTTCTCTGACATCATTTTTTATTTTCTTTGTGTCTGATCAGAAGATAAAGGTTCTGTCAAAGCGGATCGATTATGTAAAATTCACATTTTATGTAGAAATCAAGGAGAAATTGTTTTTTTGTTCACGAGCCGGTCGGTCTGATTTGATTACATTTGTTCCAGGTGATATTGAGTTTTTTTTTCCTGCATACTTTACTAAATGCCTTTCCTTTGAATCTCGGCTCATCGAGCCAAAGTTGTGAAAACCTTTATTTTCTCTTACTAGTCTCAACATGTTCAGCGGTTCCAGCACAATGTCTGCGCTGTACGGTAGCTATAATTGTTCATACAGATTTTAGTAAAACAAGCTTAAAACAGCAAGAAGG